GAGCCTAAAGGACTGAGCTAAAGTCTTTCCGTTTCAAAAAAATCACATGTATTTTAGGCAACAGTTAATTACATTTTTGCACCACAGACAGATGTCACATTTTGATTTCTTTTTCCCTACCATGTTTAAATATGTCTTTTTTACTTTGAACTACATTTGAAGACTTCCTATCTTTAAACCTAAATAAATTAAAAAACCCTCAAATCTATCTCCAGCTCAGCTCAAATACAGTGAATTGGGGGTAAGGTGGGGGGTGGAAACAGGCAATTTTAAAACAGGGAATTACACTACATCATTGACTTTATTATTGTTGCCCTTGAACATTTTTAACAGGTACCAGTGGCTTATAAAAAAGAAAATCTATGCTGCACATATAATCATGAATAAAAGTAAATAAGCAGGCTTAGGTGATCTGTTTTAATGCACAAAGATATTTTTAATATATTCTAGTGAGAGACATAAACAGGTTTATCCAGGTTAATTTTCCTCTTATTTATTGTGTGCTGTCAGATAAAACTTCATAGGTACTCAGACTCCCCTAGATCCTGGTTAAATAAAGAAAAGTTTGGCCCTTAAATAAATTATATTTTCAGGTTAGCAATCACGTTGTTTTGCCTTCCCTCTTCCCATAAATCAATTACTGAGGTCTATTTAATTAAGAACAGATTAGAAACATTTTCATTGTTGTTTTTTAAATTTCCTTTGTACTGAAGTGCTACGGAGTTAAAACACCAAGCACAAAAGTGCACAGCCAACCATGACTAACTGCATAAAGCAAACAACAAGCTGTATGATCAAAAACAAAAGCCAGTACCATTCATGTGGAATAATAGAAATCATACCACCAAAACACTTCATACACGTCTCATATACCGACGTACACACTTGCTCAGCTCATATCATGCCTCAGGAATGCAGTTACGAACAGAAAGGGACCTGCACAAGAGGTAAATACCCAGAGGGGAAGCTACATTTCCCCATGCCTCATCCTGATGGTACCTTACCCCTTCAGTTTGAGGTTCATCATCTGTGGGGAAGGAAAGGCAGAGCAAGCTGCTGCTCAGGACATGGTTTTCTGCTTCCAGCTGTTCTGGAGATGCCCTCAGGAAGCTCCACCAAATATACATGCCTAACACTACTGTTCAGTGAAGGTAACTTGCCATGTTTGATCTGGAAGGCTGGTGAAGGACAGTCACTATCTGTTCCCACCGGTCACAGAATGATGTTGCCTCATCATGCACAGAAAAATCCCCATGTAATGTTGCATTCAGGGCTCTGACATAGTCTTTGTTTTCACCATCATTAAAAACAACCTTACAGCCTCTGCTGATTTTTCTCAGGGGTTACAAAGGACACTTTTATTTGAGCAAAGAAAATCTTACCTGTTCATGACATGCAACTGAGAGTGAGGAAATGCTGGATGTTTCTGGGAGAGGATAAAGAGATTTTACCAAGTGTATTTTTCTTTCTGAGTTTTGTAACAAACAAAAAACCAATCTTCTGCCTATTAACTGGAAAACAAATCCAGCTTAAGATTTTTGCTCAACTCTTATTGCAGGAAATGGGAAACTTTCTGCTGTTTCATGAGGAACTGGAGCAGGCCAGAGAGAAGAGAACAACAAGCAGCCACCAGCCAATAAAATGTGCGTAGTAAAGTGCTCTCAGAGATCAAGAGCTTTGCATACACTTTAGGAAGGATTCAATTTCATTGTCACTTCAGGCCAACGAGGAAGAGATTCCATATTCCTGCAGTCATTCATCCCTACTACTCCCCTACTGATTTTTAAAGCCTGTTATGGCTCAGCTCTTTCCTTGTGCTTCAGACGGAAGACATGGCAGAGGGAACAGGACCTCCTGAGGTCCCCGTCCACTCATTATCCAAAGTCCCTTTAAAAATGTTGCTGACAAGCACGAAATCTTTTAAATACTGTGACTTCGATCAAGGGGAATTATATGCCAGCATAATTCTCTTTTGAATTCATCAGATACTCTAACTGAGGGGTAAATTCAGCTCCACTGTAAACAGAAGGCGAATGTTAGGATGGTTGGGAACAGAAATCTGCACCCTTTTCTCCAGCTTTATGTCCCCAGTGTTGCTGCATTTTGCATTTGTTGGAAGCAGCACATCTGTCCCTTTGGAAATCATTGCTATATGAGTCAATGCAAGAACAGAAACTTCCAGAGTGTGTTGAGCTGTTGACAGGCCAATGTGCAACTGGAGATGATAACTCAGATATAAAATTAACCATGTGATTTCTTGTCCTTTGAGTCCTATCAGATACCCCCACTCCCTTAGTGATAAGCCTTTTCCTGTGCAAGTTCTTATTTTACTGACCCCCACAAGGTATTGAAAAGGTAGTCTGAGAGGATACCTGAGGGTCTTATTTTCTCTTTAGCACAATTCCTCCCAATTAGTGAGTGCTATAGGTCCAAAACTGCTGACTGTTTGGGTCCTGAGTCCTTAAAGAGTTGAAAACAGTGTTCACCACAGTACCCTCAGTAATCTGCTAGATAGGCAGGCTTGCCTATGCAAAGTCTTTTTCCTTATTCCTGTCTTATTCCTAAGCATCATTTTGCATCTCAGGTCCATGTCTGTAAAAACATGGTATTTGCTCATCTTTGAAAATGCTCTGAGATCCAGGATGAGAGGTGTGGGATGTGTGCTCAATACAGAAGTAACTATTCTCTGAGCTTTTCAAACAGAAGTTTGATGAAGTCTCTACCTCGAAGAAAGTATAATCTAAAAAATAAAAATCAAAAAATATATTAACTGCTGTCAGAAAAGTAAACTCAATCCTTTTAGAACTAATAATAACATTCAAATATATTAATACTCTTCCAATGCCCATCATTAGGTAATTATTAACAAAACTAAACACAAAGATTGCTCTGTTCTATATGCCCCTATTTAAAGGCTGGTATGTAATTTTAGGAAGCAAAATCAGGGGGAAAAAAAACAGGCTACTGAAGGAAAATAAAGTGATTTTTAGATTGCTGGACTTAAGACCTCCCCAGCAGCTTTTAGATGCTGCCAGCTCAGGAATTAAGAGGAAGAGCTGTGAACCAAGGTCAGAGATGAGTCCACTGGCGGCTGTAACATCTCTGATGCAAGAACTTTCCTCAGGCTCTTGGGAGATTGCTGGTGATAATGCCAAACTCTATTTAAAGTGCATTTCTGTACATGTGTGTGAATACTGCAGGATTTTCTCTGAGAAATTTCTCATGCATGATAAGCACGTGGACAGACTGAAACCTCTTCATGGAGACAGGAACCTTGGAGTGCCATAGTGACACCAAAATAACACCGTGGAGTTCAGGTATCTTGATGAACTCCATACTGAGGTCTCTGTGATCCCATCATAGCTGTAGGGAGCAGGAACTCTTCCTTCAGGTTATGCCAGGAAAAGCTCTATGTTCACCTTCACTGGAGCCTCTTCTGTGATGTTTTTAACCTGTGGCTTGGGAGGTGCTTTAAAACTGCCATCTCTGTGGACTTTACCTTAGGCTCCACAGAACTTTCTGACTTGTGATTACAACAATTACCAGTTTTTTGAAAATAGTTAGAAATCCTGCTACTCTGTGACCCTCCTCCCCCCTTCTGCTTCATGTTTTTATAGTTCGGAGGAAAAGAGTGAGCTCCTCAAGTCAGTTACTTGTGTTGGTTTTTGTCAGAGTCAGAATCAAGCATGCTTCTGACCAACAAGAGGACCTCAGATGGTAACAGCTTCATAAGCACAATCTTACTTTACTATTGTCTGGATTGGAGACACTGAATGACCCTCTTAAGCCTAGACAGCTGGTTGCATGTGTTTGGTTCTCTGTATGTACCGTAGCAAGCCTGGCTCTCAGTGCAGAGGCCACCTGCAACTAAGCAACTAATCTGAAGTTTACTGGGCACATTTTTGTGGCTGTACTTAGAGAATGGCACCAAGAATCAAGCCACACCTTGAGCTTCTGAGCAAACCAATACAAAGTGTTTCTCTGTAGCGACGGGGCAGGGAACACACCACGGAGGTTCTGTTAATGCCAGGGAGATCATACTGCCAATCTCCTTGTCAAAGTCTCCCCAGCAAGCTCAGCTCCTGCCCTTAGGACAGAGAAGGGAAGGGTTTGCCTCTTCCTTTTGTTCTTGTTCTCCATGGGAGAGGACAGTAATGCCATTTGTATTCTGCATACTGGCAGGTACTGGTAAAGCACAGATTAAGCCTGTTTCTCAGCTCTCTGAGCTGGCTGCTAAGGTGAAGGAGCAGTAGAATTTCTGCTCAGGTTGGCAGTTAGGCCCATAACATATCCCTGAGAAAGCTGGTGTGCAAGAGCTAATTATTTTTGAATGCTGCTGCCTGAGTAACTTGAGTCTGCCAGGTGCCAAATGCCTCTGGAAAGCTCCCAGTTCTGCGGGAATTGAAAGGTTCAGCTTGTTCCTGACTCTTTTACGGAGTCAGACCCTAGGAAACTGCAAGCTTTTAGCGCAAAGTCTCCTCATCTGCTGGGGGGAGAGTAAATCATACCTGTGAGAAACAAGATGTAGAAAAAAGGACTTCAAATTTTTAGTGGCCAGTGATTCTGTAAGAACATGATGCATGTTACCCTAAAAGTTTATCCTGGAGGTGAATCAATGCCACCGTACCTTGCACCATTTCCTTACATTGCTGTTTGTCTGCTTTCCTGCATGAGTCACTTGGGTTGTGATCCCTGGTTTACATGCTTCTAAAATCTTGTGCAATGCTGTCGTGACGGTTGCGCAGTGGGTTTATGTGTTTTCTGCATTAGGTTTACATTAAATAAAATATCCGTATTATGGACAAATAAATGACTTAAACGCCAGGATGACTGGTCTAACAGAGTAAGTTTGTAAAAGGTGGTGACACAGGGAAAGGTAGATTGAACCCTGGCTTTGGTGTGTTAGCCAGTCATTCCTTAGTTTATAATTGGGATTTTTTCACTTCACTCTCTTACTTGTCTACCGGTGAATGATAAAGAAAGAGACGACACTGTCATTGTACACATGAACTGATGTGGTTTTACTGCATTTGACCACACACTTAAAAGAAATATGCTGGTACAGAGTAGACACAGGTCTCATCTCTGCTGCCACTCCTTTCATAAAAGAATGATCTTTACATCAACAGCTTTCCATCCTTTTCTTGGTAACATTGCAGTCCTACCTTTTGCTCTTGGTCCAAATGCAGAGATTAAAAACACTCAGTTGATGCAAACGGTGGGTTGATACAACACACAGAATGGGGTGTAGATGTGCTTCACACAACGGAGAGCAGAACTGAAGGGGAAAATGTTGCTTGGAGGCAAGACGCCTCTTTAATTGATTATGGCAAGGAAAATCAAATACCGTATCTGCTTTTTTCCTGGAGTATATAAAGATTGATCATAACTAACATCTGTTCATGTTAAGCAAATTCTTGTCATGATTTAAACTTCTGTTTGCATACAACTCTGAGTAGTGCATCTTAAAGTCATACATATTCATATAGAATGAAGAATGCATGGCTGCATAAAAAGGTAAGCTGTATGACTGTATATGAAGACAACAACTACAATTCTCACAGCACTGTCATTGGTTAATTTTAAAATATACAAGCATTATTTAAAAAACAGTAAGCTGAACTTAAAACTACACTACGAAAAAATTGTATAACTGAACCAATGCTGACTTGTTTTGCTCAATACTAATCAATTTTAAAGTTTCCCTTTTTTCTCTAACACTTTTTGTTAATTAGTTGTTATTTTGACCTCCAGTAACACTATCAGACTTCTTCTGCCTCTGGGCAATTGAGTTATGCTCTGATCTCGAGTTCTACGGGAAATGTTCAATTTTATTTTCTTCCACAGTTGAATAAACAGTACCATGTATACTATCTCTTGTGTTAGAATAGCGTTGTCTTCACATAAGACTCAAATAATGGTATTAGTCATTCATTTCCTTGTACACATACACCCTATTGCGTGTTGACAGGTTTATAAGGATGCAGTGGCAGCCGTGGGTGCTGGGAAGCTCCTAGACGACAGCCTTTGAATCCTTGCAGTCCTGAGCAATGGTGCCTGAGTTAGTCTGTTTATTGTCTGCTTTCTCTCCCAGATGCTTGACTTGTCTGAAAGATTAATACATTAACAAGAGTGGTAAGGTCCAGGGTTGCACATCTTTAAGACATGTTTATTACCAGATGGCACATGAGATTCAAAGGTCACTGTGGAAGGTAACATTTTAAAGTGAAACAACAATATTTATGTTCAAATACTATGCTGATGAGATCATATGGAAAAATGTCTCTGATTAAATTAGTTTATAAATAGCCACAATATATCTACTGAAAATTCCAAATGCCACTTTTAGTCTTCTTTCTTTTATTCTATTACTTCCTAATTTATTTAGTAACACAAGACTACCTTCTTACATAAACAGACTAGCAGCTGGAAAAAAAGTCTACGCTGGACAGTCAATCTCACTTTCTTAAATAATTGAAAAGCCAGTGTGAAACCTGGTTCTATTGTCTACTACTTAAAGCTAGTATTTCACACAAGAATTTTTTAAGACCTGAAAGTAATTTTAACTTTCAAATTCTCTAGGGTAAAATTCATCTTGCAGGCTTATTTGCAAATAGCTATCCCTATTTACTGGTAATATCATGTGATAAAACACATCTGACAAAAATCATGTTATGCTGATTACACAGAATCCTTACAATGAAAAGAAAATCCTTTTCTTTCAGATTTCCATAGGAGGATGGACAGTCTCATAGCTCATTAGTAAACACTATCAGTAATGCTAAACCTGAAATCTTGTTTATCCTCTCAAATTGTCATAAACTACATAAATTCCCAAGGAAATAGTTTTGCACAAGTTAAAAGGTCAGCTAAGCTCTTAATTAGCATTTCTTATCTACCATGCCACGCAGGCATTAAAATACAGAGAATTAAATGGTACTTACTTTTCATGTGATCCGTTTTCAACTTTCATAGCCCCTTCCACTGGATCCAGTCCTTGTTCTGAAAACTGTTTCAAGGCACTTAACGCTGCCTAAAGAAAAAATGAGTTGTCAAAAACCCCAGTGACACCAAGTGAAGGTGTGTATTTTGATATCCTATATTTAAATAATTTCCTGTATATTGAAGCCATTTAGGCTACAGAGCCTAAATGTACACTAATATAAAGATGTGTGCATGCATGGCTTTGACAGCATCATCTTTTTCCTAGTATACAAGTAACTTTTGCGTTAATGCAAGCTTCATCACCTACATGAAGAACAAGATAAACTTTTAGGATTCTTGCCTCGCTGGCCTGTCAAGTCTCTCCATCTTCCCCATGTGCTTTCCTAGAGTGCACGCTTTCCAGAGCTTGTCCTGCAGATGGTTGCAGAAGGTGTGAGCAATGGGAAGAGGGTCAGCAGGACACTACCGACACTCCAAGGCTGGATCTCAAACAATGCAGCAGACTGATGTCTTATACATAGGTAGTGAAGTGTGCTAAACAGGATAAGCTAATATGGGATGATTATGAAGTATCAGCAATAGAAAAATAAAAGATCAATTTTCAGCTGACATTTTTCTGTACAAGTGCATTCTTTATTGACCAGATTGTCTCTCATCTATATGAGTCCTGCTTTAGGACTCAGAATTGTTCTTCTCTCCCCCAGCCGCTTTGATAAAAGAAAAAAATATTTTTTTGTAATTAATTTAGCAAAAGTTGATTATGAAACTCTCAGACAACATGTGGCTGACTTTGAAAACACGCCCAGCACCATAAAACAGTCGAGGTCAGTTCTGTCTTGAAGGTGAAATGTCAAGCAGAACTAAAAAGAGGATTTTTCTCTTTAATCATTCTCACCTAGATGCATTCAGAACTAATCACTGGAGGGAAAAAAGGTAACTTTTCACTAACACTGTCACCTGAAGTAACATCTCGAACACTGGAACTGTCTGCAGGCCCTATGGCACTGTTCATCAGAGTGAGGCAACAACTGCTGTTTAGAAAATTGGAAGTTGCTTTCTTCTTAATTGTTGGGACAGAAAGAATGAATGTCTCTATCTTCATTTCCTCTTCCTCTTGGAGAGCAGGGACTCTGTCCAGAACAGGAGCTGCCATTGTAATGAAGTACAAGATTTGCTTTTGTACTAATTCTTTGCCTGGCTTCTTTCAACAGCTCCTTCCCTTGAAAGGTATGTTTATACAACTTAAATATTATTAGACAATGTGTATTTTGGTGAGATGAATAACAGTGCAAAAATTGCCAGGCTGCCCTACAGTAAAAGACCAGGTGTCCCAGATTTGTCTGTAGTAATGATTAGCTGCAAAAGCTTTAGAAGACTGTACAAGGTACTCTCACCCTTAATGTGTGAAGGTGAAATCTTTCTAGTTTGTGAGGTTTTATGGGTTTTTGCCCTAGTGAACAAATACAAAGCTAAACATTTTATAAAGTGTCTTGGTAAACCTCAGATTATCACTGTTACTTGCCCATCTACTCTATCTTTACCATGTGTTCTGGGACCCCTGGATCTGACAGCTAACCTGCTCCATACTTGCTCCTTTTTCCCATCTGTTGACATAATTTTCTCCATCTTAAAATCTCTGCTGCCTGCATCATTGTTTTTATTCTTTTATTATGTTACGGCTAAGGACTGAGATTCAACTTCACCTCAGTAACAACTTCTCCCATCTTTCACTTTTATCACCTGTTGAGTTCCTCAGTGAATGAATCCTCCCTTTCCTCATTTCTTCTGGTTTTCTTGACATGTTGATATATTTGCATTTTTATAAGACAGGTCTTTCTCTTTCACCTCGGTGTCTCTTGTAGCTTTAGACAAGCATTCTCAACTCTCTTATAAGCTCTAACCACCCTCTGCCTTTCCATCCTTGATCTTGACTGCACAGCAAAATCACTGTTTGTTCAACCCAAATTTCTCCCAGCAGTAACAAGGGTTTTCATCTACTCTCAACTTCTCCATTTGTTCCAGTAACCTGACACATTTCTTCATCCCAGTTTCTCTCTTCACTGTCTCTCCCTGGGGTCCTTTTCATCACAATGCCAGCATTACTTATCATGTGAGGAAGGGGAGTGATTTGGGCTCCTATGCTTCCTTGCACAGGACTACTTCTCTCTCATACTTCAGTTGGTCACAGGTTGGCAATTATGAAAGCAAGACTATTCAATGGGTAGGGACTGGCACACAAGAATCTCCTGTCTTCTTATGTCTATTTTTCCTGGTGCACATTAGCAAAACAATCAGGATCTCCTTTCTTCTTACGTATGGTAATCCAAAAACCATTACCAGGTCGCACTGCAAAGAAGCTGAGACATGTGCTTCTCCTACATAGTTTAACTACAATCTCATCTGTTTTTTAACCCACCTTGTTTACTTTTTTCTATCCATTCTTAGCTTCCGGGTCTGATGTGTGAATTGTAAACTTTTTGTGGAAGAACTATCTGTTTGGGTTATTTGTTTGCACAGTGGCTTGGACAAAAAGGTCCTGATCATAATTGGTAAGAAGTAGAGCCAAGAAATGTTTCATTCAACATTAGATCACAGGTTGACCCTATGATATACAGAACAGCCTGATCTTGATCAGTGGTCACTGAAATACCCACATTATCAAGAGATTAATTAGACCAACCCAAACTTCCTAATTCTTTTACAGAATTGTTCTGAATATGAGTACATCTGTTATCTAGTACTATTTTACTCATAGAATTGGCTATTGGAAGGCATACCACACAAATTACAGAGAAGTTTTCAGGGCTGCTTTCCAGAAAAACTGCTTTGGAACTCCCTGGAGTTAGCCACTATCCCAATAGAAACAGAGGGCATCTCTTCTAACGGGAAAGGAAGTACTACAATATAACAAACTCTTTGCCTGTAAGCATGATCATTACTATATGGGTGTTAAGGAAGCAAATATGGAACAGTTAGAGGAAACATATAACACGAAGGTATGATTCAAGGTGTTAGATAATAAGCATGTTTAATACCAACCCAACATCCAAATCCTAAGCTTGTAACATGGTGCAGTCTCTTTTCTCCATGTCACCATTTTTCAAGCCATACCCTACCCCCCCCCAAAAAAAGTGATATAAAAATAAGATCTCAGATGTATTGTATTTCTGAAACCAAATATCAGTGGAGAGAAGCTGCAGGAAAGCAGTCCTGTACATGTGTCCTTGATCTTTCAAACAGAGGTGTCAGGAAGTTTGTGTGAGCACTGTTGAAGAGTCATCCCTCTACACCATCTCTCACTGCTAGATTTCTCACATTTGATGCCCTGGAAGCTGACGATATCTTCAAAAGCTTATGCTTCTCACTACCAAGTCCCACTCCCCACATATTCTGCCTCAGTCTCACATCTTTCCCAAGCCACTCCAGTGCACCTGGTCTTCCCCTCCCTACTATCCACCCCAGAGCTCTGACTTCTTTTACAGCAGAGGTGGTCACCTCTACTTCTTCACTTCAACTTCTCCCCCTATCCAGGCCCCTACTTTTTTTTCCTGTTCTCCCACCCAGGACCCCCAGCTGCTCCCACAGCTAAACTTCCCTTCTGAAAGTCCTCCCCACCTCCTACGTCCCACAGTCCCTCTTTATCTTCCAGTTTCCTAATGCATTCCAGGTTTATATGAGTTCTAATTTCTTTTTCATGGAGCCATATCTTTCTCTCCATAAGATACCTGTGAGGGAAGCCTAACCACTTATACCCCAACTTTTTCAACAACATTTGACTTTAGGGAAAGTTTCTTTCCTTTTTAAAATGTCCATTTGTGGGATGTAATTGAAGGGCAATAGAAAAATGGCAGACAGAGCCTTGCAGTGTCTTAAAAACTCCCCCTTTTCTTTCTCCATAGCCTGCTTACATCTGGAAGGACCAGCAAAGCTGAGAGAAGCTGGTAAGTTAGCAATACTTTGGACTTTGATAGATGTCCTTAATGTTTCTCCTCTCCCTGTTGTGCCCCTAGACAGACATGAAGATGCTGGATTCAGGAAGGAAGCTGGTAGCTGGGAGGCTGTGACCTGAATAGTCAGCAGAGTGTCACAGAGCCCAAGTACACCGCAGTGAAGAAGAGTTACAAGCAGACACTGGGCTAATTTAATCCATGATTCAATTCTATTAGTCCCAATAGATTTACACCACTTGGCTTAAATATAACTTGAGAATGGCAGATAACTTAGGTTAAACGAAAAGGAAAGAAAAGAATGGAACATTTGACAGTGAATCTGGTGAACAATTTCCTCTTTTAAAGGCTCAACACTTCCTTCCATTGATATTTTTCTTACAATAGAGCATCTGCACAGATACAGAGAAATTTTTCTCTCCCCCAGAAGATTTTACAACTGTTTTGTGAGTGAAGCCCCATAGGTTACAGAACAGATGTCCTTACACATTTCTTGTATCACTTGTTTTCTGTGTAGCTACAGCAGTGCCAAAAATACGATGCCAACAGGATGCACCGCACTGCTAGCTGTTTGTCTTGGCTGCCATTTCCATTATTAGTATGTGTGTGTATCAGGATGGGGATGGATGTTTTCAGTCATTTTTTAGCTTTCCTCAAGTCAATTGCCAATTAGTAAATAGCACTGAAACTTGTGAATATTCTTCCTGTTTCTCACTCTGGGGATTAAGCATCTTATAATGACAATCTAGTAACATTAGATCATTCTCTTAGCAGGAACAGCAGACAGGCACTACACTAGCCCATGTGCATGTAAGACTACATCCTCATGATAAAATGTTCACATGTTTATTTTAGCACAGTATGTGGTTTGTGATCTTCCTCTTAAATCTAGATTGCATTTCAGATTATTCCATGAAGCTGAAAATTGTAAAAGTTTGTTGTTCTCTGTGGCCCTTCCAGTTGACTTTACCAAGGAGGTCTGAGAAAATCCTAATAAACACACTGCTTGATACTGTCAGTTTATTGGTAATATGTTTCCTAACATCAGTTTTCTAAGTACATAAAAAACATATTCAGCTTGGCCTTAATCAGTGTTTTCTGAAGACATAAGATTATGTGCAGAAGTAGTTCCTCTGCAAAA